AAATGGGAAATTTTCCATCTTCACTATATCGTACGATTCACTATACAGTAGGTTCACTATATCGAGCGCCGACTGTATACAGAAAGGTTCTTTTTATGGAATATACAGAACCCTGCCAAAAATAGCAATTCATTCTATAAAAAAGGAAACTAAATTGTAGCTCAAAGTTTTTGTAAAACCAATGTGACATTTATCACAGACGTGATGATTAAATTTGTGGGCTGGGGTGGCAGGAATTACACAGTGTTTACCAACTCTAAGAATTGATCCTTTTTGTCACATAGGCTCTGTATATTTCATAAAAAGAACCTTTCTGTATATAATAATATAATATTACCCTTTATTATATTATTATGTGTGTATGTGTTGTACAAATAAATCACATTATTATTTTTTTTGTTGACGCAATTGAATCTCATTTCTATTGATAGCAAGAGGTATACAATTTTTTTTTATTTTTGTTGGTATAGATATATATATATTATTATTGAAATCCAAAATGTGGAGCAGAACTTGTTGTCTTTTAGGTAATTATTAAGATTCTTTATCATGATAATAAATAGACAATTATTATTGTTTTGCTTTTCATGTAATCACTAATATTAATATTAAATAATAATAAATAGTTATAAGAAGATGTCAAGGCAACATGGCTGATTGTTGCAAAAGAAACATTTCAATATCAAACAATTTAAAATATAACATTTGATTATAGAAAATTGGCAGACATTAAAGCATGTATGCCACCTTGAACATTTTACAGTCATTCTCACATGTTCTCCATGCTTACAAGGCTAATCTGACCATGGCTCTCCGATGATATAATGAATCCAACTAAATTTTCAGGGGGTGTCTGGACCTGGAGTTTAACAAAATTGCATTTGTTTTTGTAACCCCTACCTAATCTTCCCTCATGGCACCTGAACTTCAAAATCAGGTTCAAAATAATTTAGAAAGACAGTTCTAGGTGTGCCATCTCAACAAGACAGCAACCCAGCTTGCAACTTCCTGAGTTGCAGAATTTATACTAATTGTAGACACAAACTTTATTCTAGTGGTTGGAATAACACAAACAATCATCACATGAGTGCTGCTGATTTTCATCAACAATCAATGTTATATGGCAATGGCCAAGTTTTGTCTGAAGAAGAGATAGGTAAAGTTTTTGCTCACTTTATAAAAGCCTCCCAACATGTTTAAGTCTGTTTCACCTGTGGAAAAGAAAAGTTCCATGGTGCTGAATTGTGCTTAATTGCACAGTCTTTCATGTTTGCAATAGAAAATTTTTATTAAATCTGACACCTGTGATCAACATCAGATTTATTATTCATAAGGAACTATACAATTGAAGCAAAATATTTTTTGGATCCTCCCTATTTATCTATTCTTGTGAACCCCAGAGATCTGGGTAGACACACATTGTTAAAAGTTTCATTCCTACTTTGAAATCTTATTGAGGGGGTTAGGTTTGTATGTAATTTGAACCTTTTTTATGTTAATTTAGAGTTCCATCTTTGCTCTTGTAGTTTGCATTTTACAAATCAAGTTATTTACTTTAATGCAATAATCATTATATCAAGTTAATTTTTAAGTTTCAAAAATTGATTATTTTGAAAAGGAAAATATAATCTTTCTACAATTTTAAGAGTAACTTTTCAACAAGATAAATTATAAGTATTTTTGAACAGATGCTTTAATTATTGTAAAAATACAAATTACCTTTATTTCTTAGAGGATAATCCTTTTTATGTTAAAAATACATAATATAAATTATAAAAATATAAATAAACTATAATTAATCTTATTGTTATAATCTATCCAGAATATACATGCAACCCAAATTGGTTTGGTGATTTTGATGGTCAAAATTATTCCAATTTTGATGGTATATAGAAAGTAGAAATTAATTACGGCATTCACTATTAAAAACATAAGTGTAACACCCATTTACTACATGTGTAACCCCCTTTATTACAGTGTCAAAATACTTTGGGCTGCATGTATAATCCAGAAGGTATTTAATTGATTATCTCAAATAAATTAAGTAAAGTTTACATCTATAAAAAGTAAACAAAATATAAATCACTACACATGATTTGTTAAAGCAATGATAACATTTTCTGTTTATGATCAAAAATATGCGGAAAAATTCATTGGTTAAAGGTAGTCAATTTTTTATTAACTTGTTTGCTTTTTTGAGTTGTCTTTTCTCATTTTGATTATTAATGATGATAAGAATTTAAATCTAGGCCATAATTACTTTTCATGAAACCAATTGAGGATTTTTTTTCTCTTTTATATCAATTACTGAATATATGCTTGAAAATACTTCTGTCTGTCTACTTTGCTTGTCACCATGGGACCAATTTCAGAATCCCTTCAATTTTAAAATAAATGAAAACCTACAAAGTGAACATAAAATTATATATATATAGGGATAAGTGTATATGAAAAGTAATAATAAATACAACGGTTTTAATGACAATTGATTTTTCAGAAAAAGGTTGTAAATATGGTTGTTCTTCAAGAATTCCCAAGGAAGAATTTGCAGAATTAAGGGAATCCTTTCAAGCTCTTTGCAAGTCTGAACAAGACATATTTTTAATGGCATAGATTAAAGCAATGGATGGTGGATCAATAAGCACTAGTAGATGCCTTAAAAGGAAAACCAGATCTAATAAAAGAATTTTCTACCATTGGGATCACAATACACTCCTTTGTCAAGAAACTTACCTCAATATGTTAGGAATTGGCAGAACTTATTTTGAAAATATCAGAAATTATCTAATGGTAATGTAAAAAGGATGCCTCAATGAAAAACTAAAATGGTGATTGATAAAAATGTTGCAGAAGTAGTAAAGAATTTTCTGGAAATTTATGCAGAAGTCCATGGATTACCAAGTCCAGGAAGAAGTAATAGAATAACTCAATCAGTTACATTCTTACCAGCTGAAATAAGTTATAAATTAGTGCACAGAGATTTTTTAGCTGGTCTAGAAGAAGATAGTAATTTGAAATCTTTGAAATATGATGCATTTAGAAAATTATGACATCAATTGACACCAGAAATTCAAATTATGAGTCCAAGGACTGACTTGTGTGATACTTGTCAGCATTTTAAAGATGATTTACACTATAATGCTTGCCAAGAGGAAGAAGCTAAAGATCATAAAGTTGTTTTTATAAGTTTTGTAATGTAATAATACCTAGTACTAGTTAATTACTAATTGGCAAAAACAATGTATTCAAATTTAATTTCAACAAAGTATATACAATATAAATATTTTATTACCAAATATATAAATTTTAGATTTATTAGTAGTGATTTTATTAAAGACAATGGGAATAGTATTAAAGATTATCAATTATTGGTAAAGAATGTTGGGAGAATGAAAATGAATAATTGGAAAGACATGAACCTTTACAGAAATAATGATAAAATAGGTGATTTATTAAACAAACATGTGGGATTTTAAATTATAAAATTATATAAATTTTAGATTAAAATTTAATTAAATAAATAAATATTATCTCTAGTATAAACAAATAATCTATATAATGTCTATAGTAAATAATAATAAGTTTTCTATCTCTATATATTTTATCTCTCCAATCAATCAATCAATCACAGTCAATCAATAACCTTCAGTGTCTAACAACATGTTATTAAGAATAATATCACTACCAAGATAAATATTATAAATAAAATTACTAACACTATTACTACCAAATCCATTATTATTATTATTATTATTATTATCATTATCATTATTATTATTATTATTATTATTATTATTATTATTATTATTATTATTATTATTATTATTAATGCTAATGATACTATTATTACTATCAGTAGATGTAGAATTAGCATTAATAATAGTTGAAGATGAGGGAGACAAGACAGTAGCTTTCCTAACCACTTGAAACACTTCATAATCTTCAATTCTAGCATACCCATTATCAATTGGCATAATGTTTGGATGATAGCTTCTATGTTTAAATTTGATAATATTGTTTTCCATTAGTAAATCGAATTTACCAAATGAAGGTCCAATTGATCTCCAATAATTTAAAGCATACTTGTGATCTGACTCAACTATTCTTGCTATTTTACCACCATTATTATTCCAATTGTTATTATCATTTTCATTGCCATTACTGAAAATTCCATTGCCATTACTGTCATCAAGGAAATTTTTACTTAGCCCACCACCACTTTGTATGAAACTAAAGATAAAAGAATCGGTATTATAATTGAACCTTGGCCATAAATGAGATGTCCATATATTTGGATTATAACCTCCAACAAAATATTCAGAATCTTGTAATTTTACAAGTGTTATTGTCCCAACAACATTATCACAATGTTTATGAAATGTTGATGATGAAAACCCATCTCTACTACCTCTTATCAATAATTTAAATTCATATGGTATCTGATTAATTGGATATGAATAATCAACATTATTATTAGTGGTGGTGGTAGCACTACTAGTAGTAGCAATATTATTAGTGTTATGATTATCTACACCACCATTATTATTACCTGTTAAATCCATTTTATCTATCCATGAGGCTATAGTTATTGCATGGTGTACACTCCACGATATGGCAAAATTGTAAGATATTTTGGTCGATAAATTGTCAATGATGATGTGAATTCCTTTGTTGTTAAAGGAGAACTATTGGTGACTGCATTATTGGAGATGATGGGCAAATGAAATTTCTCCATTGTATCATAGAATTCACCCAATGATTTTTTGAAAGGCTTAACTCTTGTTAGAAAGTAATTAGAATTCATATAATAAAATCTAACATGTTTAGCACATTTTTGGATTATTAACCCAAATCTTTTAAAATTTTCTGAACTCCATTTACTTATATCTTTTGATAAGTTATTGGTGGTAGTAGTAATGATTGTAGTAATACTGTTATTATTATTAATATCATTTTCATCATCATTATTATCATTATCATTATTGTAAGTATTATTATTATTATTATTACTAGTGAATCCATAGTAACAATTATCAGCACTATCACCACTATCACTATTATTAGTACCAGTAGTCGTAATAATTCTATTGATACCCCATTGTACCAATTTTTCCCAAATCACCATTTCTTCCATTTCTAATTCATCATCCTTTAATAATTGTTCCAAGCAATCTTCTGGCAATAATAAAAATTCATCTGAGTCAAATAACAGATTAGGATATTTGCGAATACGATCTAAACAGAAATCTTGTAATTTCTTTAATGCATTTGTGTTAAAAGTAATACGGAAGATTATGGGAAGGTTGTCTTTAAGCCATTGGATATGTTTATTTAGTAATAATGTTTGTGTGTAATCAATAAACTCGTCCAATAATAATTCATCAGCTGCCATCAAGCATTCAAATATTACCAAAGGTTCTTTCTCTTCTTCGTCAAACATGATTTTTCCTCCATAAATAAACCTATTAATAAAAGCATGTATATTATATATATATACATTGGTTGAGACTTACAGAAGAAAAACGAAATAACTTTATAAAAAATAAATATACAAACTTTAAAATAATTTCAAAAACAAATGGAGAAATATTTGGTTTTCTGAATTGGATAATTCCATTTTCTCTTTTTATCCATTCTTTTTTCAAATAATTAGCAAAATATGTGGACCTTACACATAAAATGTTGGAATGAACTT